GCACTTGATTACTCTTTCTTTTTGAGAGCAAAAACAGACCAATAACAGCACTGGTGTGAAAGCCTAGTAATATAAGACTTAGCACTTACACCACTTAAGGGAGCTTTATGTGGAATATTTATCTATTTATAGTTGATTTAATTGTTCATATAGAAAGGTGTTAATATTACCCGTTTACAACACACCTATGAATGACTTTCACTAATTTATATTACGAATTCAGTGTACTGTTTTTCGAGTTGTGTGCGTACATTTAAAACCCAATAAGATTTAAATGTCCTCATATTTTTTTGTCAAAACAGACGTGTTTTAATAAACTTGTTTTAGTAAACTGTCAGTAGTGTGTATATTTACGTCAACGGGTTTTATACTACTGTATTAGTATGTGCGTCATATTATCTGGTCGGTTTTTAGGAGGTCTACTGAAAGAAAAACGGATGCCATGACTATTTTAAGACGATTTACTAGTCTATCTCTGGCTTAACGCGTCTGTGTCTACACCGCCTTATGTGGCATTACGAACAATATCGAATAACGATATCGAGTTAGAAGCGACACGGAATACTAAACAATAGTTAGATAAATGATTATTACTTTGCATACAATCGTCGCTGGAGGCCCCTCGCTGACGTCGAGGCGCGTGCAGTAATGCGCAGTTGGTCAGCAGGCAGACGGAAAGACGTGATACTGACATGTTTTATAGACCTGACCTAAATCAATGTACTGTGACGTCATATGAAACAAACCCTATTAAATGTGTAACGACCGATGAGTCAGCACTGAGGTTTTCCCATCTTAAAAGTTTGAACATATTTTAGGCAATAATGTGCTGTCACCTGTTTAAATTGATTTCTTAACCCTAAACATTCCTTAGCCAAAAACATTGAATGAAAAGTTAGAAACTTTAATAAAATACAGAAATATTGAGAGCATCAGTGTAGGTATGTAATTTTGAATTTCGTCTCGATATTTTGACATGAGGTGAGTCTGCAAGTAAACCTGTTACAACATATATACTTTGACTCTGAATTATAACAAATTGTATAATATACTGACGTATCTGCAAGGCTATCTATAGTTCTTATTAATTTAAATTTGTAATAATTTTTACAATCATTAATAAATCGAATTTCAATTCACATTCATCAAGAAATGAAATAACTTTAAGTTAAAACCCAATAACAACCAAAGGGAATTCTAAATTTAAAACATATTGGTTTATTTTAATGATTGCCAGAACTAACACAACAGAAATGTATTTTCGTTTTTTTTATTATTAAAATGAGGCATTAAAAGTTAATGATTTGACGATAGCAAGAGGTGTGACGTCAAAAGTTGTTTTTAATAGTGGTATTTTACAGAACGTACCGTATTGACGTTTTATTGATAAAACATTCAAACTGGAAGTTGATGTAACTTGACAGTCTTAAGATAACTATTTTATAATTTGATAATACCAGACTATATTCGTACCTAACACAGATTTTTTGCTTGCATACGTGAACTGTTTAAAGTTATCCGAACGCAGATCGAATGCTTATTATTAGTTTCAGCTGCTTAAATACCATAGCAAAGTTGTAACTTGAGGGTAAGAAAGTTAAAAACAATTGACTAAGATTGAATAATATTGGGACAGAACGGTTTCCGACATTCAATAATACTGCATAGATACACTCAAAATACCGTTTAAGACGGTGTGGTGTTCAAATATTATTTTATGTCTTGGCGTTATGAACTGACTCATTTTATAACGGTTACCATCTACTTTATAGGTATCGAGACTATATTTAAATTATACTATAAATATGTTATCATAAAATGAAAATTTTACAACTAGGAGTAGGGAGTGGAGTTGATATTTAGACTAAATTTTGTTCTATACTGATAAACGAGAGCACAACACGGGTCGACTTTCGTGGTACTAGTACATACTAATAAAACTTAAAATCCATGCTAATAAAAAGAATGCAACCCTGCCTTATATACATGCTCACACATCTTTATGCCCAGATGGGGTAAACAGAATCGTATTAAACTCCCATATTTTCCCGACTATAACTTTAGTCCCACTGACGTCCCTAAGCCTATTGCCTACTAAACAATGAAAGAAAATAAAAAAGAAAAGTCTAAGACTAAGCCATTCGATCTTTTTATCATAGATAGATGTTTGATGCGCTCAAAAACTTAGTCTGTCTAAGCACAGTTGTGCTATCAGCTGCTTAACGCTTGATATTTTGTACACTCGATCGCTGATTAGCGCCAGAGAATTTTCCACAGAACTCATATCGTATATTTAGGTACAAACTACTTTTCCGGTTACAAAATTGTAGTCAGCCTAGGAAATAATTCAGGTTTAACGGTTATTTTACGTTATTATTAAAGAGTTTGTGAATCTTTTGTGACATAGGAAACTTTACGAAACATTAATAAATTAACATCACGCGAAATATAATGAAATGCTCACACTACATTTTTTATAAGTATTCCTAGGATTTTATGAGCAATTTTCAATTCAATTTTTTTAGTGTACGATTAAGTGTCAAAATAAATAAACTTTTTGTCTATTGAAGATCTACAACCAGCCATCATAGGTACTTACTTACTTATAAACAAATAGAAAACTACAAAAGACACTTGACAACGAAATCTAATCTCAGGAAATCAAAAAAGAATATAACAGGAATAGCATATGAATTAGAGATCTGGGCGATATATCTTTACAAATAAATAAAATTGAAGAGTCTGTTTGATTACAAAATAATGGTTTTTTTATGCTCACAAGGTTATTTGCACAATACCTATGCCTAAAATCCAGTTTAAATATTTTTGTCAGTTTGTGCGTCTGTTTGTTCCGGCTGGACCGATTTTGATAATATTTTACTATCATTTGTGTCTATATAAGGAGTAACTTAGGCTATTTTTCCTCTCAGTAAAACCCTATAAAATTCTGCCCGGTAATGGAATTGAACCCGAGCCCTCATACTACTACACCACTAACACAACGCTTTTTAAATTCACTTTCAATACTAACCGAATTGCTAGCAAGATAGATCAAATGTTCGGGTTTATTAAAAGAATTTCGTCTGATGCGGTTGAAGCAAATGCTTAGTTACCAGGTTTTTTAGATGTCTATTTTGTCTACATTATGCTTGTGTGGTGGCAAATCAATCACAAAGAATTAAAAAGTTACCATCGAGCATTCACTAGACACTTGGTCTGTATATCGCCTACGAATCGAAGGGTATGCTCATATACACCTTGCAGCACAAATGTTGGCAAAATTCTCGCTTAGTGCGATCTGCTCGGGGTACAACGCTCTGTATAGGACCTTAAGCGATTACAAATTTAACTTCTTGCGTGATTAACGTAATCCATTCAACCAGGTTTAGGTGTGCAGGGTTAAATGTGTCATATATTTTTTTTTTAAATTAAGTGGTGTTTATATTTTATAATCTTAGTTCAGAAAGCGTATTCGCAAGTAAAAAATTGTGCGAAAATAAGGTAAGGGTTTCTAATGGTATATATAGTTTTACTGATACGGGATATTGATAATAACCTAATAATAATATGATTTTGATATAGATAAGAGGAAACTAAATAAAACTAACTTTAATATTATGTTGATAATGCTTCCAAAGCAACTAAACAAAATCATAACACAGCCATTGTCAATGTGGGGTGCGTGACATGCAATCATTATGTCCTAAATTATATTGTGATTTGTGACAGCTCAAAATAAACCAAATAGGTGCCAGTCTGATTTTCCTTAACATGGGTTCCTTACACTTGTGGGACACAAATGGTGGTGTAAACAGGATGAATTTGCTAATATTTGAAAAATAATTATTCTCCTGCATTTATAAAACCAGTGTCAAAAATATGTCAATATAATATCTCTGTAGTTCCGACAGTTGTGACTGTATTCTGTGTATATTTCAATGTGATAAATAATATAATTGTTTTGCATTTTATTACTAAGGTCAATATAATAACGTGGTTTTTTGACATTAAATAGTTACGTTTCTGGTACATTTAGCGCTCAGAAAGTGTCGAATCGGTGTCCGTGTCTTACTTAAGGTCACCTTCCCCAAATTGCCCGCTTCTGCGTAGCAGACGTCAGATCATCCAAAACTACACATTTTTTGCCCCAGAAGTTTTCTTGTCAACCCGTAATTGTCTATATTTAAGTGGTCATTACAGTCACAAGGACAACCCAAGACATAAAGGGCAGTGATAATTATGAAAAAAAAATCGGATGCAAGCCCGAGCCTGATTCATGCACCAAGGGTTCCGTCCGAACGAATGTATAGATAGTTATTCCACGCCGGGAATTGATTTGCGCTACTATGTTTATAAATGCAAAAACTATTTTTTATATGATATGTCAAAAAATTTACGGCCTTAAAATTAATTCCTTAACTTCTGCATTTCCTCAAAACAAGTATAATTCAGTAGCAAACAGTATATACTGTTATGGGAAATACAATATCGATGTAGCTTATAGTTTCACTCAGTGTGTTTTATTATTAGACTATCTGTTATCATGCAATCCACATTTTTATTTCACAACACTATCGACCTTTTTGTGGTCTTGCTATTTTTTTTTAAATTGTTTCTTCAAAACTTCTATATTTACTTAATAAACTATTATTGTCTCTGTGTAATAGTTACTTACTTTTGTTAATGACGTCAACAGACTCAACAGAAATATGAAGGTTATTTTCTTAAAGACATTAATTGTAAGACCAAAATTTAAATTCATATCAAAATTTAAGAGCTTCTTAAACTTACGTATCTGTTGTATTCGTTAAACTTACGTAGGTATAACCCTTTCTGAGGTTTAATGACAGATTTTTTACTCCAAACTTTCAAAATTAACCCGTAAGATCTACCTTGATTGGTATCAAGATAACACTTATGGGTAAATTGACTGGTAACAGAGTGGTGCCTGTGACTAAGCTAATGAACTGATTATCATTTATTTATCAAATTACACGTACCTTTATGGCCTCGTTCAGCTGTTCAACGACTCGTTGGTTAAAATCTGCAATAAAAAAAAACACATTAATGTCACCGTAACATTTTAGGGTCGTACACAAAACGGACGTACATATTTACTTCGAGAGCACAATTTATATGTCTAATTTAACGGGGAGTTCAACCGGGCACGTTTTAATAGCTTGACAGGTAGTTCGGGATCATCCATAAATTACATCACACGTTATGGTCAATGAAGTGTGTGGTTATGTGAGAGTCAGGTTTCTTAAATTCGTTCGTTCAGCGACGCCATATATGGTAAAATCTAAACACTTGTGGGTGCAAAATATGTGACGTTATAACAGGGAAAGCTTACCACCTGTGACAAGAAGGATAAAAAATCTTTAAATTCGTGTCACGTAAGTTATGGAGGGCCCTTCAGAATAATATAGAAAATGATTACGGAGGGAATTACGAGTGATATTATAAATAGAAGATCCGAGTCGCATTCATTGCATTCAACGCTCGGAAAAAAAGGGTTTATTAACATGAAATATTTAACGCACAGGCCATTATCGAATTCAGACGATTTTTATTGAATGTTATTAGTTCGATGGGCGCCAAGAACGGTGTCTAAACCAGTATAAATGAAATAACCAGTTATTTGTAGAAATAAAATGTAAACCCACGCCGAAAAACAAAAGTAAAAGCTTTAAAGAACAGATGGCACGGGTCAGTGGCCAATTGATGAACTATACGGCTCAGTCCGATTACTATATCGATTTATATAATATTGAATCGGTACTCGTAAATTATATCGATGAACTAAGACAAACTACGAGTACCACGAGTACACGATGTACGCGACTGTACTACTACAAGTACTCACTGCACCAGAACGCGTGGGTACGATTCCAAGATATGCGCTTTTAGCACAATGATCACCTACTCTGTATTAAAGGTGTATTTCATATTTATTTAGAAATGTAAGTATGTTTATTTTCAATCGGGTAACCCCGGCACAGAATCTGTCTAGTTAATGATCAGACGTCGAATAGACACACGAGAAGGTAATTTTCATTTCCTCCTTTCTCAAAACCTACTAGAAATAAGTACTTTTATCAATCTGTAGGCGTACTTTGTTTCGGTGGCCATGGCTAATAGCGTGCGGAAGATTTCGGAGGTGAAGTCCAAACCAAATGCCTTTATTGAGGCATCGTATGGTTCGATTACTGTGGAATCGCCTTGAATGTTGAATAAGGTCGTTATATCTTGTCGCGACATGAATTTAAAACATGCCTACATTTGCTTACCGTTAACGCTATACAAAAATGGACTGAACCTCGAACCGAACAATGATAAAGAAATATGCTTTTGCAAACGGTTTCTCTCTATGGTATCTCTTATGTAAGTTTCATATACCGCCTGTTATATTCTACACTTTTACGAGGTTTCACTTTATCCTTTCTGATTGTAACTACTAATAAATGCCAAAATAAGTTTGGTTCGCCGTTATGCTTTTACAGAAAAGTATCTTTAACGTAAAAATATGTACTGTTCCTAAGTGTGTTAGTGAATCGATTGTAGGGAATCAGCTATAAGCATATTGTACTTGTAGTATTATTGCAACTGTTGTGAAGGAAGAAATTACTTATCTCTGTAAGATTTTTAATAAATGAGGTAAATGGTTCAAGCGTAGAAGCCGTATTTATATGGTGAATGAAACTGTAAAGTCACAAAGAGTTGGCTGTACAGTGGAGCTATGTTGTATATAAAAGTCCGTATGACTATAAGCGTATTATTTTGATTAGATTCCAATATGGCACGATGGCCTAGTCTTTTACAAATAAGGTTGTGCTTATTTATACATCCAGACAGTCACTGCGCCACTCACTGTGCCTATTGACTAACTTTTTACAGAGCCGTGTCACTGTGTTATAAAGAAAGTTTCTTTCTCTGTAACAGAGAACTAGTTAGTACTCGTACTTGAAAGAATTTTTTGTAGTGTATTTTTATTGTGTCTATGAATAATAAAGGCAACTATAGACACGGGCAGGCTCATTGTGACAAAGCAAGTAAAAAAATACGTGCTTCATATTGTCAATAACGTTTTTATCAAGTTACTTTGTTAGAAAAGTTAGGTACATTTCAAATAAATGCATTAAGTACCTAACTACTGCAAATGATTTTTCAGGATGCAACATAATTTTATGTTTCGGACAGTACTGTCTGTTACACTGTGAGATATATCCAAGAATAACAGCAACGCAGGATATTTTAAAGTTTTACCTTCAAGAATATTCCAGAGCATTTCTAGGTGCGTTACAATGCATAACAAATGTTATACAAACGCAAGTGTTTTCAAAATAATGTTGTAAATATAGTATTGACTCGTTGCAGTTGTGATCACATTAGTTTTCACTTAGAACGCTATTTGAATCGTTTATTTACTACTTAAGTTGACGTAGGTACAGAACAACTATTATTTGTTGCAGTAGTTGACAAACGATGTTTGACAACTAAATTATAAATTTGTGAAATACTTTATCCCCAATAGTCGAGTGGGATATTATAACATTTATACACGACATTTTGAATCTGGAGAGCACAGGTGTCTTATGTTACTTGTCGTCTTTAAGTAAGCATATTTATTTAGCTTTTTCAAGTAATCACTATAAATTAGACAGGTAATTAAACGATACGTTGCATTTAACGATATCGAATTCTATTGACAACTGTATATCAACATTTTTATTATGAATAAGTAGACGACATGTGTGTGGGACACCTGATGCCTCTATACACGTTGAACAACACCTGGAGTAAAGAGCAACAACCTTGGAATATTGTTTTGTTCATCCATGTTGAATCACCATGTCAAAGACTTGGGAAACCTTGAAAAGTAGGTAACATTTACCGCATAAGCGATGTACTTTTCAGCAAATTCTATAGGTATTTGAAGGTTGATACTTTTGAAATAATCTTTCTTTGTTCAATTTTTGTACCTACGAGTATACACCTTTGGTGTAAGAATACAATATATTTTTCATGAATAGGTTTTGGCATACGTTGTTAACCCACCCGATGGAAAAAGAAGGGTGTTATAAGTTAAACGTGCTTATCTGTGTATTCTCAATTCTGTGTAATTAAAATTCTGTGTATTCTACCTGTGTATTATATTCGTTTAAGAGCAACATGTTACATGTGTTTCCATGTACGGTACATGTATTTACTTAACCGAATGGACCGAATTTGCATTTGGTTATTTTTTTTTTTGAAAGGTTACTTAATCGGAAATACTCTTAACAATAATTCAAAAAATCTGTTTAGCAGTTCGCAGATCATCAGCTGTTTTTTCTAATTGTCGAAGGGATTTAGGGGATATTTTAAACTTAACATTTGTTTTAATGTTCATGTATTTGCTAGGAGTACTCTAGAGTTGTTAAAATTGCCTTACCCACAAAACCATTTATACAAAAATCATAATAACATAAGAAACCACAGTAAGTACAGTAGTAAAAAATGTATGTGTATATACTACGTGTAATAATGCGTGTGTTGAATGATAAGAACTTAATTAATTTATATTCCATGTAATTAAAATAACATCATCAGCTTCTTTGAAATGCAAATATTTAACTACCTACTAGTTTATCCAAAACCCAATTTTTCAATTTGTGGATACTGACTAATCCGGTGTTGAAAAATAGTGTTTGAACACTTGATACAACTTTGAATACTGTTGTCATTGTAATCCTCATCACAATAATAACTCACAATTCATAATAGGACATCTACGAGAGGGAGAGCTCATGTCTTCACTCTTACCCGTCACGATAAGGATTTAGTTATTTTGATAAATACTTTTTTTTCACACTTTATCTATCTATCTATTTATTTGATTGTGATGGTAATAATAAACCCTTTTTAATGCCTGACAGACCTTGACTGCACGGATGGCTTAGTGGTTTAAGCGGCGGTTCGACCCCTACATTTGACAACTGGGACAACACTGTCTGATCAATAAATTGTTGTTCTCTGGGCCCTTGGGCGTTTGTGTCCGTTTCATGTTTGTAAAGTCCCCGTGACACAGGATATATTCCGAGTGCGGGAGTCACCTTTTTTTTTATAGAAAAATGATCCTGTGTTGTCGCTGGCCAACATTAACCATGGCAAAAGAAGTCTTCTCACGATTTCTCCATCTACGATAAAAGAAAGATCAAACTCCCAGCATGCAATTTGTAAGGTGCATGCAATTAATTGGTAAGGTGATCTTTGTAGGAGCATATGAATACTTAGTAAGTATCAAACATAGAAGTAATCTAAAATCTATTATTTTTAAATGCAGTCTCTTCAAGGCAACTTTTTGGTTTTAATTAAACTAATAAAATTCTCATGTTATTTTGAATTGATTCAGTTATACATATTTCTGCTAACACGTTTTCGATATCCGCACACAATTTTTAACACCTGTGTATAATAATGAAAAATGGTAATATATTCTACAGAATAAAGCAGTATTTCAACATGATCACATTACATCGCCGGCCAGGTGGGCAGATCAAATATATTAGTCTCAAAAATAATGCAAATGAACTTATCGGCGGCTTGTTTGTTGTATATCCAAATTTTGTTATGCGATGTACTCATGTGTTCACGCTGCTTTCCCTTGCCTATTCAGTATGCGTTGTTTTTAAATTATAAATTCAGAGTTGTGATAATCATACTACAATTTTGTAATTCCCATAATTAAAATACAATTGTTCACAGTTTATTTTTGTTTTGTTAACAAATGACACAATAATAATGACATAATAATTCGTAATAGGTGTTGAATAATTTAAAATAGTTTTGCATAAACAGCGCTATCTCTCGTGTATGTATTTCGGTGAAACCCGACTAATTTCGACCCTTAACAGGGAATTTTATCAAGGGGTAGAACTACCTATCGCCTCGCTGTCAAGCCCTGAACACTATAAATAGGAATAACACGCACGAAAGCTTGTATTGCGGTTTCAAGATTCTAACATACGGCCCGGCAATCTAATCCCAATCGGCCATGCACAT